GAATGAACCGCTTCCTCGATAATCCAGACCTGTGCGTTGACTCCTTGCTCTTGCTGACTTATTGAAGTTACGGACTGTTATGATGGCAGGCACAAGGTGTACGAGGCCATGTCTGTATTCATGCACGCTTCCGAGCCGGGAAATTACCTGTTCGTGCAGTCACATTTGTGGTGGGAACACCCTGCCTAACAATGTTTGTACAACAGTGCGGATGTATTCCCAATCTTGCGACGGCTGCCTGACATACTGGCCCCGTGGCGCAAGGAAGGGCGTCGGATGCACGAGTGGCAAGTTGATCACTTAGATTCGCGTATGTTCTCGATCACTGACGACAGCGAGCAGGGAGATGGGGCTCTGGGGAAAGCTACTGGATGAGTGCAGCTCTGACATAGCGAAGGGCATCGCACGCACAGGATTCGTATCCGACTATCTACGCGCGCGCGCAGAGGCCGGGCTCGGTGACCTGCCAGGAAACGGTGCTACAGACGACGGCGTTGGATGGATGCGCGACAAATTCCTTGCATATACGGCTGCCTCGGTGCTCGAAGCAGGCTCAGACTCGAGCTCGACGGTGATGTTCTCGTTCATCCTGTTCATGCTCAGCAATCCAGACGCATTGCAACGCGCTCGCGAAGAGATGGACAGGGTGATAGGACCAGATCGGATGCCTGGCTGGGAGGACGAGGATAGGCTGCCCTGGCTTGTGGCCTGCATCAAGGAGACCCTCCGTATCCGACCGCCGTTCATCTCAGGCCTACCACATGTGGCGGAAGAGGACGACGTCTACAATGGCTATTTCATCCCCAAAGGCTCAATGGTGATTGGTAACGTTTATGGGATTCATATGGACCCTGCTCGGTACCTCAACCCTTCGATGTTCGATCCTGAACGGTTCTACAACGCGGATTCGGGACTGCAGTGGAACAGTGGTCCGGATTCACAGAACCGTGCCAAGTAAGCTCGATTCACCTATGCACGTCCTCGTGCGCTCATAACGATGACTGTTGCTAGCTATGTCTTCGGATGGGGACGGCGGTTTTGCATAGGCAAGCATTTGGCGGAGGCGTCTGTGTTCATCGTGCTCGCGAGGCTGGTGTGGGGAGTGGACTTTTACGCCCCAGCAGACTCCCACACGGGCATGCCTATCCTTCCGGATGTGAAGGACGAGGCGTCGTGGACGGACGGATTGGTGAGCGCACCAAAAATCTTCTCTGTGGGCTTTAAGCCTCAGTCCGAGAAACACGCGGAGGTGATCAGGAGGTCGTACGTGGATGTACAGGCGGAGTGGGAGGCAATGGGGCAGCCCGTCGACGTGCAATAAGGAACAGTGGTATCATCGATGATCGCTCCGGTGGCGACTCATGATCCGTTATGTATCCGCATTCTAACCACACCCTCCGCAATTGACTTCCGAGAATCAAGTTGATCGAAAAATGGGATTGAATCATGCCGGAAGATGACAGCTGGTGATAAGCAAATAAGCCGTCGGAGATGGCGTTCGCATGCTCTCCTATCCTGGCAAGTATGGTGGCGGCAGGCGGATGAGCACAGCTCGACAGCAAAGCTGCCATATTTTCTGACAATGTTCCCAGTGGCTAGAGCTCAGAGTGGCTAACAGGACATGTTGCTATATCGCTCTTGTGGTTAGACTGCGTAGCTCAAGTATCCAACTCTCAAGATGCGGTATGCGAGTTCGGGTGGGAATCGGGACTCTCGGAGGCAGATGAATGGTCTCCTTTTGAGATATACTTCAGTCATTACGACAAGAATAATACGTGCGCGAGTCATTCGAGGCGAAGGCTAATACCGACGGGAAGATGCTACCTGATGCCACCGGTAGTGACTGAGATGGGCAGGTGAGCCAAACAGACCGCGCATCAGTATAATTGCCCTTTTCATGCACATATCCGACAACTGATCCTCCTGGAATCAACGATTTCATGCAAGTCAGAAAACATGTCTAAGCTCGTCCGAGACCCGAAGCGAGAATGATCAAAAAGATATATCACGTTTGTCTGAGCTCTATCAAACGCGTAAGGAACAGAATGGCTCGCGCAAAGTCTACGAGGCACTACAAACAACACCAAATACTGTGGCGTGCGCTCGCCACAATTTCCAACAAAACATTCAAGTGCACATTCAAAAATTTGATGGTTGAGTTAGGAGAAAACGTCCCGAACTTACCTGACCTTTAGGCGATCAGTCCATTTATGGGCATCATGCTTCAACAAAAGTGAGATAGGTGGATCCGGAGGTTCTCCAATATTGTTTTGCCATTAGTAGAGGCTGTGCAGCTTGGTGGGAGCCATATCAATTATCATCCTCCAGAGGCTTCGTTGATGCCGAATTTCGATTAGATCCCAGCTGGCATTTCGCCATATCAGACAACCAAGACCTAGAGTGGGGTTAGGGCTTTCCAAATCGTTGACTGCGGCTAGCCAATCGCGTCGTTTAAAAACTCTGACCCCGTTGCTAACTCTAGCCATGTACCTTATATGATATACCGATAGCAGCGCCGAATGCGATCTGGGATGTTCATGTCAATTCCCGCAAACAACGGGATCCCTTACCAGTTCTCCGTTTCAGCCTTTCCTCAAAGAAGGGAATCGAGTATAGTCAACATCGGCATCGTACGCCCAGTCCCTGGGTAGCAGTCCGATTCACATACTTTATTTCACGTTTCTATCATTACAATGTGTTCGGACGATCGGCCATATATACCAAGAGATTCTTGTAAGAGGCGTTTCTCATCTACACACTCTTGTCACTTTGACAGATAACGCTGACGGTACTGTTCCCAGCTTCTTTGGTTCTATTGGGTCAATGCCCGGCTGCGGTGACAGGCCCCTTCTTGTTGCCATATACATAAGATGCCCGCATTCTCACACGGTATGCGCTTCTTGAATCTTGTGATGGGTTTTTGCTGATCCATACGATCACGAGAGAGGTTTCGGTCCCGTCACAGTGCGGCTTTGAATCGCCGGGACGCTTCGTCATCGCGGTTTGCCTGCAGCATGCTCACAGTGTATCCTGACTGCTCTCCTATATATGTTCGCCTTGTAAGAGGGCCGGCCCTGTTGCTCGTGGCTCACAGCGAACTTAGCTCACGTCGTCTATGACTGCGTTCACCAGCTTGAATATGTTCTCGCCTGAACTCGCTTTGCTCGCGGGCATCGCGATCTTCTCTGCTTACTGCGTCTCGTTCATGCGCGACACAAAGGCCCCCTGCCCCCTGGTCCACCCGGCATTCCCCTACTCGGCAATCTGTTTCAGCTGGACGCTCTACGCCCACATCCCACGGTATGTGCGCAGCATGAATGCACCCTATTGCCATATCAAACGTCGTTCATTGAATCTACGCACAGTACTACAAGTGGGCGGCCAAGTATGGCCCAATTTTCTCTATCAAGCTCGGCCTACAGCGGCTCATCGTGCTAAGCTCTGCCGAGGTGGCGGATGAGCTTCTCGTCACGCGCAGCAAGCTATATTCCAGCCGCCCCGATATGCATGTTGCGAGTGGCCTCGTGAGTGACGGTCAACGGATGGTCTTAATGTCAAACAACAGGGAGTTCAAGGTCTGTGCAAAGTCCCGCAATTCGCATTGGTTGTACACTTGCCTCGGGGCAGTGCTCATGCATTTGTATCACTGGCGTAGATTGCTAGGCGAACAGTATCAGGCATACTTTCGCCTGCGCCCTCCAGGAAGTGGCGCAATATGCAGGATTTCGAATCACGCGTCATACTGCAAGATCTGCTCGATCACGCCGATACCAGTATTACCGAGACTTTCACTGAGGGCCCAAATGGCAAAGTCCCAGAGCGGCACTGGTACTCGATCTTCAGAAGATACGTAAGTGCCTCTCGATCATGCCGACCTGTAAACATAGCCTCATGTCGCATGTAGACTACGAGCGTTGTGATGCTACTCTCGTATGGCATGCGAATGAACCGCATTCTTGACAATCCGGACCTGTACGTGAGACTTTTTCTACATTCATCAAAGCATTGCTTGATCTAGCGGCAGGCACAAAGTCTACGAGGTCATGTCAAACTTTGCCCACGTTTCCGAACCAGGCAGCTTCCTGTTTGTCCAGCGTAGTTTACGGCAATGCGACACCTGACAATCATTATGCAACAGTGCGGATGCGTTCCCCATCTTGCGATGGCTGCCCGACATACTGGCTCCATGGCGCAAGGAAGGCCGCCGGATGCACGAAACGTAAGTCGTAGAGTCCGGCTAGGATACAAACGGTCGCTGAGCACCCCGAGCAGGGAGATGGGGCTGTGGGGCAAACTGCTCAAAGAGTGCAACGAGGACGTAACGAAGGGGGCTGCACGCACAGGATTTGTACCGGATTATCTCCGCGCGCGTGCAGAGGCCGGACTTGGCGAGCTCCCAGGAAATGGTGCCACAGACGATGGTGGTTGGATGCGCGACAAGTTCCTCGCGTATACGGCCGCCTCGGTACTCGAAGCAGGTTCGGACACGAGCTCGACTGCGATGTTCATATTCATCTTGTTCATGCTGAACAATCCGAATGCGCTGCGCCGCGCCCAGGAGGAGATGGACAGGGTTGTAGGACTAGATCGGATGCCTGGCTGGGAGGACGAGGATAGGCTGCCCTGGCTTGTCGCCTGCATCAAGGAGACCCTCCGTATTCGACCGCCGATTGCCTCGGTTCCTCATGCGGTCGAAGAGGAGGATGTCTACAAGGGTTACTTCATTCCCACAGGCTCAATAGTGGTCGGTAACATCCACGGGATTCATATGGACCCTGCACGGTACCCCGATCCTTTCGCGTTCAACCCCGAGCGGTTCTACAACGCGGATAAGGGGCTGCAGTGCAACAGCGGCCCAGATTCTCAGAATCGTTCCAAGTACGTGTGATCAACTCGTGCACCCCTTCTGCGTTTATGCCGACGGCTTTTGCTAGCTATATGTTCGGGTGGGGTCGACGATTCTGTCTGGGTAAACATGTGGCAGAGGCGTCGATCTTCATCGTGCTCTCGAGGCTGGTATGGGGCATCGACTTCTATGCACCGGTGGACACCCACACGGGAAACCCTATCCTTCCGGATGCGCTCGACGAGATGGTGTACTGGGACGGGGCGGTGAGCCCGCCGAAGATCTTTCCGGTAGGCTTCAAGCCTCGTTCTGAGAAGCATGCCGAGGTCATCCGGAGGTCGTACGAGGATCTGCAGGAGGAGTGGCGTGCAACAGGTCTGCCTGTTGATGTGCGTTGAGAAGCAGTGGCATTGCCGACGATCCAGCAACTGTTGCTTGTCGCGTCTCATGTAGTCTTGAATTTCGTACATTTACCGTGAATAGCAGGCATCACGCAAATACTATGTCATAATCGAGATCAGACACCTGACTGGTTCGTAAAGCCGCGCTGTACAAGTCAGAGATGGAGTCCTCGAGCAAGGCTCAATGAAGGCAGCCGAATGCAAAAAGCGGCGAACAGGTCGAGAGTCTCTTAACGTAGGGATGCAATGCACACGATTTTTCACGTAAGACAGTAAATTTTCACTCGGAGATGCACATGGTTGGTACTCAAAGCAAGGTACAGACAACAGATTACACACACGATCCAGATCACAAAAACGATGAGGATACGCTGGATAGGTTTCAGGCAGAAGCAGAATTGAGATTCTTCACGTACTCAAGAGCGAGTCTCGGGCTATGCATCGCGTGTCATGTCGTTACTCACGCAAAGATTCCACCAAATGATTTACATACCTGTCAGCAGGTTTCACGGGAAGCCTTTTCTCGACGAGTTTCCCGCCCTTCTCGAAGACGAAGTGGCTACGCTTGGTCTTTCCACCCTCCCCAGCACCTAGGGCGCTGATCAACTGGCGCTTAGGGTCCGAGAGCAAGGGATAGGGCAGGTTTTTCTACCGATCAGATGAACCATGCATCAAAGAACTGCAACACAACTGACGCCATGCGAACCTTTGTTTGCCACTTGGTCTGAGCAGACGCACTATCCGCACTCAAACAGTAGACATCAAAGTTGTGGGCAGTGAAGTCGGGGTATATATCGCGGAAGCCGCAAGCTTGGGTGGTACAGCCGGCTGAAACACATTTCGAATTCAACAACGAGCAAAATTGGAAGTAATCATGTATAATCAGTTGAACTCACGTGTATCAGCCTTGGGCACAAGGAACAGGATCACCCCTTTCTCCGCTGCCAGCGTCGACACTTCTACGTCCTCGCCCTTCTCGTTCTGGAGCGTCAGAGAGGGCAGAGCATCCCCGACATCGATCGTTGCCAGTTTGGCAGCAGCTATAAAATGTATCAAAAGTGCACGCTTCCTCATCATTCTATGTACATACCCGCATTGGATTCCGCAGTATCAGGTGCCTCGGCAGCCTCCTCCTCGGCCTTGCTCTGCAGAGCGGAACGGATCAGCAGTCGCCCTGGTCAGTCTTGAGAACACAACGATACAATAACACTTCAAAGCGACTGTGCAAAATACAGAACGTCTCCAGAACCTTCGCCAAGCCGCTAACGCGTACCTTTTTTACAGCAGGACTGTCTCCATCCACATCAGCTGTTCTCTTCTTGGATTTTGCCGTAGCCTTTTGAACGGGTTCCTTCACTTCTGCTTTCGGTTGTGCAGAAATGCGAGAAGACCGCCTAGTAGGCTCAGTAGGCTCAGCAGTTGCTTTGGTACGGCCAGTCATGATGAGAAAGGAACAAGGAAGGTTAAGTGGAAGGCGCGGCGCGGAAGGTCGAACACCAAGTCGAGCAATCTTGAGGTCAAATGCCACCACCTTCCCCGTCAACTCCGTGCCAATTACAGAGCACGAATATGCAAGACGAATTAAGCCGCAGTCACTTTTGACTTCAATATTTTCAACGTGTGGATATCACTGTCGTGAGCGTCCGCCTTGCTTAGGCTAAGCCGAAATTGCAGCGTTCTTGTGGAAACACACGTTCACTATCCACATGCGCTTCAAGCCACAGCCCTATGTTACGTAGAAATTAGAAGGTATGTACCAATGGTATAGCCATAGCCAATTGCACCCAAGCCTGGGGATACGATCATAAGAAAGGTAGTCTAGCGTGTAGTACCGTAACGTTCATTCCCAAGACGGGCAATAAAGCAACAGCTGTCTCAAGGTATGTCTGAGCTAAAATTCAACACAACGAGAAGGGAATAAGTGATGGGAGATGAGGGATATCCAGTTGGGCGTAGCATAGGTATGCGAGGGTAATTGAAAGCACGACAAAGCAAGATAGCAAGCGCCATCACGAGGTCTTGCAATATCATGAGGTAAAAACACCAAATTGCGGGGCTTAGTCAGATTCCTTGGAATTTGAAGACGCAGAAGACAACCTCCGACTGAGGAAAGCCTTGATCTGGACAGTAGGTGTAGACGGTTGAGTCGGGCTTGAGACCTCGGCGGCGGTCTTTGGGCTGCTATCTGTCGGCTTCTCTCCGTTGGCAGCGTCGACGGCGTTGTCGCCTGTAGGGATGACAGAAGACGACGACCGCGAGCGACGAACATAGGGACGAGGAGGCTTCTTCTCCTGTGGGGATGTCGGAGGCGATGGTTGGGGCTCCGGTCCCAGATCAGCACCAAAGTCATCCAGCACTGCTCTTGGCGGTGGACGCTCCACCATAGCATCCAATAGCTGTGCGGGATCGTGATGAAAGAAATGCCGATGGCACAGGAAAATCGCTTACCTCACGTCGGAGTTCTTCACCATCATAGTCGCCCTCCATCTCTTCCGGTCCAAGCAATACCGCACCCTTACGGAAGACTTCACCCTCTTCTTCAACCCAGCTTCGCGACCTGTCGCACGGATGATGAGAACTAGCTTGTGGACATCTCGAAAAAGCTCACTCACAAGTCCGTCGGTGACACTAGATCATCTGGTTGCGTTACTAACAAGTGTTGCCCGTCCCCATCCTCGTCATCGGAGTCGATGAGGAAGGTCGGGCTGAGGACCTTCTCTGGCTCCTCTGGCTCCGGTTCGGCTCTGCCTTTACCCTTATCTACACGAGGTGTGATCGGCTCCTCGTCGCTCGTGTCCTCAGCACGACCGTCCGCCTCTCCATGTCGCGCGTGCCCATTAGTAGGCGATGCAGATCCGTTCGCTTTGCCCGTCTCCACATGGATGCCAAGCGCGTGTAGCACGAGGCTTTGCCTCCGCGGCGCACATCGCGCCAGCAGGGTTGTCAGCTCGTCGTTCAAACTCAGGAGCTCCTGTAGTCGTGCAGGCTCTGTCGTCGTGTCGATGATGCTCATCAGCGATTTCTGCACCTCCTTCACGCTCGCGGTCAGATCCGCAACCACCTCTTGCACGGGCGTCGCAGGCGCTGATGAAGATGATGGCGAGCGCGCGAGCAGGTCTTCGAGCTGTTCCTTGCATCCGCGTGCCTGTGCGAGGATGTTCGACTCGGCCTGTCGTGCCGCGGAAGGGATGCAGTCAGCCGAGGCCTCAGAACGCACAGGCGAGTGGTCAACAGGGTCATCAACCTTTTTCTTGTCGTCCTGCCGAAGGGACTTGGCCAGCTCGCTCTCCTCGATCATGCCCCAGACGCCCTTGCCCTGGCCCCGCCCGCTCGCGCCGTCGGGGCTCGTAGCCTGCGATTTCTTCTCCGCCTCCTCCGTATTGCGCACGCAGGAGTAAAGAATGTCTCGACATAAGCTGTTGTCAACACGTCAACGTTCAGTAATCACCCGAGGAGCCGTGGTAGACTCACCGAGCCATCTCTTCATCACCTGGAGGAATGTTGAGATCTAGACATCGCATTGTATGATTCGCCTTCAGGCCCGAATTCAGAGCCATCACGCCTGCAAGGTCTAGATTGTTCATGGTAAGATCTAGGTGTAACAATGATGTCGATTCTGGTAGGAACTCGGCAAGTGCGATGGCTCCGGCTGGCGTCATCCCGGTTGAGGAAAGGAATAATCGTTTCAGTGCATCATTGAGGGTGAACGCTGTCCGCAGAGATTGTATCTGGCGTATGGATGGTTCAGCACATTGTTCAAAAAACGAAAAAGACCACCTACCCCTTCAAGGCCAGGACCACAACACGGGTTCTTGCTGAGGTCTAACGTCTCCAGGCAGGAGTTGTATTTCTGAGGTGTTTATGTAAGCAGGGACTTCCGTGTAGGAGAATATCATGCAGGTTACCAGAGCCTCAGCCACTAGAATCAGTCCCTGTACATCAAGCTTGTTCTCGCTCAAGTTCAGGACCTTCAACGTTCGATTTCGCTTCAACACCTGTGCAATATACGTAATGCCCGTCTGCAAATAAGTACTGTCAGCGACAACGAACTCGGCATAGCGACAGGCGTACCCGGATATCGTTCCCGCGCAGATCCAGCGTCCGCAACGCCCCCAATCTAGGCAGATTGTCTAACGCGCGCACCTTGTCCAGCAACGCAGCGCTCGGGCCCTTGTCATATCTCTGTGACCCGTTATGATTGTGCCCCGACACCGACGGGTGCACAGGCGGAGGAACCGAATGTCGCGTGGTCACTCCGCCCTGCGCCGACGACGTGATGATGGGTACCGGCTGGCCGGTCAGGGAGAGCGGATTCACCGCCGCTGCTGTCGCCGTCGCCGTACCCGTGGCAGCTCGCCGCGCACGGGGCACATAGGGCGTGTAGGTAATCTGAGGGATCGTGGAGGGGTGCCGTGGAGGTGGAGGGAGAGGCCCTGTGCGCGCTGGCGGAGGAGGTGGTGGTGTCGCGGTGCCATCGCTGCTGAGCGAGATCGTCGATAAGGAAGGAGTTGAAGGTGGAGATAGCAGCGAAGTAAGGGTTGGGCTCGTCGCGATGGGCGACGTTGGAGTGGAGCTGCCGCCTGTCGATGGATAACGGTCTGGATAGTCTCTGATCATAAGTGCGATCGCGACTGCGCCGGTCGCATTGATGCGGTTCAGACGGAGGGATATGTTGCGCAGGGAGGCTTTCCGTACGGTGTTGGCTGCAGTCGGCGGTGGTGAGGGAGGACAGTAGATACTCACGGTGCACGAAGAACCTACCTAGTGCATCTAAAGCAATCGGCTTCAGGGTGCAATCATCCAGCCTTAGCGATACCAGGCCCAGCTTGGGTACTTCGGCAAGTGCTGCCGCAATATACTCGATTGACCGCTTGTCGAGTGAGTTCTGCGAAAGGTCCAAGAACTGCAGGCTCTTGGTCTAATGCGACGTCACGAAGTAATCTCATACCATCTATAGGGTTCACGTACCTTCGCAAGGTACGCACCGATCAACCGGAATGCTGGTGCCTTCAAACGCCGATTTGACGCAACAGACAGGAACGTTAGGCTGTCTGGGATCAGTAGGGCATGTAACATGGGTTTGAGGGTCTGCAATGTCACAAATGAAGGTAGCACATCAGCGGATGTAATTGCACGTACCTGGTCGTCTAGGTCACATTCCTTGAAGACCAGTTTCCGCAGCCCCCACTCAATGGTGAACACGTCGGACAGCACTGACGCCGACCCCACCGTCAGCTGCACTCCTGAGAAGTCCACCGTGCGTGGGTTTGTTCCGGCAGCGCGCTGTGAGCAGCAGACTCTAAGCACACGTCCCCTTCAACCCAAGGTGGCTGCAACACACCTTGAAAGCGGTAGAAATACCTGGGTCAGGAACCTCCTCCCGCCCTTCGCAACATTCCCTGTAGAAAGACTCGACTTTGTCCATGCTCCACCATGTATCCGACGTGTTAGAATCATGATTAATTGAATTGCCCCGCACAACACGCCGCCTGCGTTCTACTTCGCGCTCCTCAATGGACCGCTTCTCTTCCTTCAAAGTGGGAGTTGACGGTGGATTTGCCGCAGAGATTGGATAGACCATAGTCATCTCCGGGAGGATAAAGTGCGCTCTCTTGAGCGTCGCATTCTCATCCTGATTTGCAGCTTGCTGGCTCTGTGTCGGCAGGAGCTTGGATAGTCTCGCAAGGGAGAAAAATGACTGCTGTGGAGGCGGGGGGCGCTTGAGGATCGACTTGCCCGGCGTTGGGATGGTCACAGCAGACGAAGAGGGAGATGAGGCGAGCATTTCTGCAGCATCTCGCACGTTGTTGGCGACAGCGAAGACACACAGAAGTCTGAAACAGGCGGTGTGATCTGGAACAGGCGGGCGAGGATATTGTTATCGCCAACTTGTTACTTGAACTTACTGCACTTACTTACGCTGGCAGAATCACGTGCTTCCTGAAAACACATCAGAAACTCGCAGCACTCCTACGAGTCCTACAGATCGAAGCCACATGCATTCGATGAGCGCAAGCGCAAGTCGTATTGTGGGTTTGTTAGCCACTATTCACAATGCTTAAAGTAGGAAGGGCAAGCGAGAGTTTTCTGCACCGGAATGACAAGATTAGTTATGTACGTTATTGATTTTAATTTAAGATTTCGGCATCCGCCGCCATCATTACCTATTAATAGGGTTTCAATACTGCTTAAATGCACCATTCATTCTCACTTTGGGCTGAGGAATACTTTTCGCTAACCTTGCTTTCACGAATGCTTTAGCCCAGTGAGAAATCACAGAATGTTGAGCGTTCGAGTTGGCTACAAAGTGAGGGCCATCCGAGTCCGAGAGTCATTCTTGTTCCTTGAGGTAACTTGGCCGAGCATCAGGTCTTCTGTTATTACTGAACTGATACTTACAGTAACATCGTCGCACGATTCAAGGTGGAGTCATGATATATCATCTTGCAATATACCGTCACGGTAAGATGCGCCTCGGCATGAAGCAAACTTACCAACACCACACAGTATCCCCTGCTTGATTTCCTGTTAACGTCTCTGGGATTTTCATTTGCCAAACGCGGAGGTATGTAACGTTTCGTGCTCTCCACGTAAATGGGCCTCGATGGGCCCACTTGTACTCTTTGAAACCATGACCAGTCGGGATGATAGAGGTGAAACGGAATCAAATATTGCACAGCCCGTCCACATGCCGGTCGATCACTGTATGCAGATCGGTGGCGCACAGAGCACCCTAATACAAAAAGCGAAGCATATGAGCCCTTCGACGACACTATCTTCACCTCGCAGTCACCACGCGCAAGTGAGAATCCCCCCCCCTCCCTAACAGTATGTCGAGCAGCTTCTCCTCTGAAGGGACCATCCCCTTCACGGTCGATGGCGAGACCCATCAGACATGGTACCGCCTTTTCGGTGACCTCACGAAACGCACCCACCGCCCTCTCGTCGTGATCCATGGCGGGCCCGGGCTCAGCCACGACTACCTCCTCCCGATCGGCGACCTCGCAACGACTGCGTCCATCCCCGTCATCCTTTACGACCAAGTCGGCACCGGGCGCTCTACGCATCTACGCGAGAAGCCCGCGTCTTTCTGGACGATCGACCTCTTCCTCGACGAGCTCACGAACCTGGTAAATCACTTCGGCGCCCAGGACGATTTCGACGTCCTCGGGCACTCGTGGGGCGGCACACTGGCCATCGAGCTCGCCATCCGACGCCGCCTGCCCGGTCTGAAGCACGTCGTCCTCAGCAACACGCTCGCCGCGAAGCGTCTCGTTAAAGAGTCGAATGAGATGCTGCAGAAGAACTTCCCACAGGAGGAGCGCGAGGCATGGCTGGCGGGCCCCGAACACCCACTATTCGGCCAAGCCTCCGCACACTTCTTCTCCCTGCACGGATGCTTGCTCAGCCCACCGCCACAGGAAATGCTGTACTCGCTGGCTCAAGGATCGCCAGGAACGGGCGACACGACCGTCTATAATGCGCTGCAAGTCTGTGTGCAATATTGATGTGCTCGCCTACTTACCGCTGGCCCATCACAGGAGCCAAGGGGAGTATGCAGATTGGGATGTGATCGACAAGCTGCACACTGTCGAGGTCCCCGCGTTGATACTCAACGGACGCGCGGACTATATGCAAGACTTCGTGAACGCTCCATTCTTCACACACATCCCGCGCGTCAAATGGATTACGTTCGAGAAGTCCAGCCATATGCCGTTCTGGGAGGAACGTGAGAGATACATGCAAGTGGTCCAGAATTTCCTCGACCTATAGTGGAGGTTACTCGCCCTCTTGTACACCAAGACTGCCCCGAATGAGTATCCGACGTGGCACATGGCTTGCGAGCTTGTCAAATTGTTCATCCCCGGTCTCGCCACTCATGTCGTCATAAATTAGTCACCATTTGATGTATTGCCAGTCACTAGCTAGAGGTAATTAACCAAACATTAGTTTGGCAAGTAGGCTGTTCGCGAAGACATAACCCTGTGCGATGCGACATATTTGGTATTATATCACAATCAGTTTTGAATATAGCCTCGCCAACGTCTATGTAATACTTTATCTGGCGTCCACACGTGCTGTTTGTCACAGGTAATTGGAATCGACCAAGGTTTGGTAGAGTTCGAATCTGCCGATTGGCCGCGTAGGCTGCCGCCCTCTGCCGCCCAACGGTGGCGGCAGCGGCAGCAGCCTATGTCAACCTTCATCTCTGCGAGGATGCCTACCTCTTTTTCTACATCCCTAACTTGCTTTCTTGCGAAATGCATCTTCAAATAATTATAGGCTCTTCCAAGCTCGCTAGGATCCCGCCATTGGCTTCGCGCATAAACAAACTCACGGGCAGCCGACATTTCAGCTCTACGCCGCCTGTTAGATCACTGGCCGGAACCGTCGCTCCGCATCACAGCTATTTCCTCCTGCACACCCATCGTCCGCCGAGAGAATATCCTGCTAGATCCAAGTCGCCGCTGCTGCACGCTTTGACGCGGCATGCGCTATCCTGGGGTGGTCTTGTGAACTTCTCGTGGTCGGAACAGCAAGCCGTACATCCAGGGTACGTTGGTCTTGGGGAAGCCGAAGGGGAGCAGGAGGTTTATCGTGCCACCGCATTTTCACATGCCGGAGGCTGTATAGACATACCCGAAGTATCGCTTGCGAATGTGGGCTCTGTGGCAAAGACGTTGTACTCCCACGCGCTCGGGGACCTACCGGCGACTACACCTGATAAGAGCATCGACAAATTGCATCTCTACGTGTGCACGCACGGCGAACGGGACTGCAGGTGCGGGGACACAGGGAGTGAGGTCGCGGGAGCTCTACGGAAGGAGATCAGCAGACGTGGTCTGACACAAGACATCTCGCTTGGAGAGGTTGCCCATGTGGGCGGGCACAAGTGAGTGTTAAGGATATGTCGGCTCTATCTGTACTGACGCCTTATTCTCAGATATGCTGCAAATCTCCTCGTGTTCCCCTTTGGCGACTGGTTCGTAGTACGAGTCATTCACCTCTGCTGGTCGTTGACAGTCTGACAGGTTGGGCATGCTGCAAGGTATCGACGCACCCGCGGTGCTCGACGAGATCTTAGAAAGACGGAGTCAGCGAGCAGTGGAGAGTTTGCAGTCAGCACCGCTGTGTCCCCCATTCTGGCGAGGCCGGATGGGCCTCAACAAGCAGGATCAGATTGCCCTACATTCACGATCTTGATGCATTTGCGCACTACCACGTCTTTGTCAGCCTGAGGCCGTCATCATACATATATATTCCTTCTTAGACATTCACCAGAAGAAGACATGGTCCCCCGTACACTGACTACCCGCGAACCCACTGGCATAAGGGTTCAAGTGAGCTGAACTGTACTTCCCATCTTACTTCCTGCCCATCAAGGCGTTAGTTGTTCTGACACCCCGGGGGGCGCAACCCACCGAGGGCGTCGAGACCCGTGGCCGCCAGTGCTATCGGAATGCGTACACAACTGTCAGCCTCACCACTGTAAATAGGATGGATTAAGCCCGAGGACTTGATCAAATCTTCCCTGACCACTATCATTGACCAGAGCTTTAGACCACCGTCGTACTGCCCACTCACTACTGTTATCGTGAGCGTCCCAAGAGCGGGTGAGTGGCGTAACATTTTCGCTGCATATCGCACAGCTCATAGTGTACTACAGTGTATCAACGATCTCGTTGCCGGTCGACTTGTTAAGACCCTTATCTCCAATTCAGTAAGATTGAAGTTCAGTACTTGCTATAAAGCCTGCTAATTCTGGGTTGGTCGATGGTCTACCATATGTGCTTGGCATGAAGGACCGCTTCTGTCCGCCAACCTCTCTATATTCTGGGGAGGTATTTACTTGAATCACACAGTATCTCCGGGTTACACTTCTTCACGGAGCAGTCCAAATACGCTTTGAGACGTGGAGGATGAATGGTGTCAACCTGCAATGGGCATTCATCAACTTCGCTCGAGGACAGGAGTGAGCCTCTTCGTTCGCTCATACTCTGTCGTTCTAAGCTCCATCGTGGTAGGTTCACGATCTGCCGACTAATTAATCTTGCTTATCTGTGGTAGCAGGTCATCAACGTTCGTCTCACATCCGCTCAGAACTACGAAGTCAAGGATGGAGGTGTTGTTTCGTATTCTTTGGTGATACAACCAGATTGGCACCGGTCTATCCACACACCTTCGCGGCAAGCCATACGCGTTCTCGACGATCGACCAGCTGATCGATGAACGATATACTGAATGGCGCGAAGTCGCTCTCAAGGTATAGCATCCCACCGCCCGCTGGCAGGGTGTGCTGTTTCATTTGATAGCTGCCCACGGTGAGCCCATTTCATAGTGGATAGTGTAGTCTCAGGCCATGTCTACATCCTCGCCGCTCGAGGAGAGCTACGTCCCATCTTGCGGGGAAGTTCGTGTTCGTGTAGCCCACGGAGAGGTGAGCTTCCCTTGTTGCCATCTCTGCATCGGAAATACTTATTACAGACTTGTCGTATGCTCCGAGGCGTCCGAATGACTTCAGTTACGACTCGTGCAGCAACATTCGCTGAGAGCGCGAGCCCGGCTAGGACAGGAATACGTATACCCACCGCGAGAGCGGGTGCTACGGTGCACATTGATCACTCACCCACGTTAGAGACAAATCGCAGACCAGTTGGCTTGTGGGCGCCCATAGTATCGCAGCCTCGCCTGATTCTCCAACAGGTGGAGAGTGATAGAATAGTCGTTAGATTTCGCGCAGGAATAGAGACTGGACACGATCAAATAAATGTGCGTTTAACCCCGCTTATAGCTAGCAGAAACATAAGGATTCGAATGTGAAACACACAGTGTAAGAACAAGTGGCATAAGATAATGTCCTAAGCGTCGACTGGACAGTGAGATGAGACCTTTAGGGAAGATAGCAAGCTCTTGTCATTTAGTCGATGTGAAAGGGTCGGCACAGTGCCTTTAGAACAAAGCAGACGATGATTCCCTATGGCAGTACTATGGATTAGCTCCTAAGAATGTAGGCAGGGAAATCTTAAACTATCGAATTCCATCAACCATAGCGACAAAACTTTGGAGGATTCTCGTTTTCCACACGCAATGGTGACGAAATAATAATGTGCAGCTATGTGAATCAATTATGATTTGTGAGAAAGAAGGCTGATAATGCGAGTACCCCGTATTTTGCGTATTCACAACAATGGGGCGGACGCCCGGAAGACCGCGCTTCTACAATAGCCATCAAATTTTGGATCCAGTCATGAGAGTCCAACCTTAGCTCGTTAGTGCCAATCCCGGCGTCAACACCTCACTATAAGGCGAACGAGGGCGACGACCTCGCCCAATTTCTCTTGTGATATTGTCTCGTCGTCATCTGGCTCTGCTGTGCCGACATACCATCCAGCGTGCTTGATGGCCCCCGATATCATCGACAGGTCTCAATAGACATTGAGGCCTAATCCTTCTTCAAACGCGTGGTCAGATCCCTCTAGAGTATTCCTGAGCGGCGTGCTCGCGCCTATAGGAACCTCTTCCGCTTTTCAGTGCGTGTCACAGGGGCAAGGTAAGGCGTTACATTGGACGAAAAACTGCACGTCAACAAACACTTGTCTTTGGAAGCAACAGAAAAGTACTCACAATGTATAAGTGCGTGCAGTGTTGTAAACGGACCTCAAGAGAGACCGTAAATGTCCTATGAGTGACGATAGAAAACATGCTCGACGTGGTGCAGGCAGAAAGCAAGCTATCCCATAACCAATATTGCCTTCCTTCATGATCCCTTGCCAACAAACAGACAATGCCTTCTGCACAAGACGGCGGTCAAGGAGATGCATTGTTCTCAAGAAACAGATTTCGTACTATCCGAGGATGATCACACGTTCTATCATTTTTGATTCGCCTATATAGATTAGTCACGCGGAGAAGGACGTACATGTAATACACCCTCAGCCTTGTCATTCCTGAGGATCAAAAGCCATGCTCGCAAAGGGCGGCATGCAGCAGACATCAACATGGTCTTCGCTACGAGCCTTCCCTTGACATGCATTCCTGGATGTTGCTCTGCCTGCGTCACCTTTAGTCCTTCCCGCCTACTGGGTGCAGAACCACACAATGGTGGTCGCGACTCGCGCAAGGCGTATGGAAAGATGATCTCGATCACCCATATCCGATCGACTCGGCTGCGGCCGGATATCCACACGTTGACAGAGGTGGCAAGTTCGAGTCGTATACGATGACGGTATCCTGCTCCCTTGTATGTTTCTTTGCCACGGATTTATCAAGTCTCCTAATGGTGAATTTATACACACTGGCCATCGACGTCGCAATATGTGGAATGTGTTATCCACGGTGGTCAACTATGCTTGCCCGTTCAATTACAATGGGTATCAAGAGCATCTAACGAGCTCGGTTGTAGGTATAAACAATGACTCTAGTCGATTGTTGGGAATCATGGTCTGATGCAAGGAGCGGACACCAGTGCGGTATAGCTGACATCACAGTCGGGTGAGTGCTAGAGGTTGAGTCGTCGCGCCTCATTATCTCCATGCCAAGTGCCTGTGCCTCCGGGACATGCACCATGTCCACTGTGGGATAGGTGTGTGTTGAAGTCCACGCTTGAGTAGGTGTACTCCTATCACTTGCGTGCTTTCTTTCTCGCTGCCCCCTCAGGGGCAGCAGTGTCCTCGTCCTCGTCACGTGGCCTTCTTTTCCGCTTCAGATTTGGCTGTGTCGATGCAGTACAGTCAGGCTCCGCTCCCGTGTCGGCCCTGTCAAAATTGATAGTCAGCGTCAGTTCATTCTCTCTATTTTCCTCGCGATGCGGCCCCGGAGATCACACTTATGGACATTGAGTGCGTTTCTACGGAGCCGGCCCTTCAACGAAACCATACAGAAACACATTTTCACATACCGTGGTGCATTGTCTCCTACGTCCTCGTCATTCGCTTTATTCGCGGGCTGTGTTGACATCTCAACATCGGCAATCGAGCCATGGGCCGTGCCTGTCAAGTATACATTAGCACTGAAATGACAGTCAGTCGTACAAATTCTCACCATCCGTATTCACGGCTTGATCACGGTTTCCCCCATTGATTTTCCGGAGTAGCCGTGCGCTACGACGCACCGGCTTCTTTTCCGTCTCTGTTCGTGGGCCCCTGGCACGAGCGGCGGATTTCTTGGGTCCCGCTACGGCTGCAACCAGCTCAGGCGCGCTTTGTTGCATGGGGCCATTCCCTCCACATTCCCCTGCAGGGACCGCAGGGGGCAAACCAGTCGCTGGAGGAAGAACCGTGGGCGTCCTCGAACTAGAAGCCTCTGGTGCAGGGATTGCCAATCTGGGCTGACTAGGCTCCTGGACGAATGGAACGGCTTGGGCGGTCCTGTCCGTGGATACTTCTGGAGTGGCGTTGGATGCCAGTGGCATCCTGGACCTGGGACGCGAAACTTCAGCATCGCGCCCGGATAGGCTGGACTCTGAATCCAGGTTCTGATCGTTAGCGGCTTGTTGGAGACTCGTGGCTGAGGGTGCCAGTGCTCTCCTGGCCTGCGCGCGCTCGGTCATACGCCGGAGCCTAGGGGGCAGGTTCCGGTGCTCATTGTCGTTCTCGGTCGCATGCAAGGGCATCTTGCCCAGCATGCGACGCAGCCTGCACGGCACATGTCGGCGCAGTTGGTCTTCTGGGCCATTCCCCTTTGTTGCTGGTGGTGTCTGTGGTGCGGGGTGCACCATGTGGGGGTCGAGCGTCGTGTGTATCGTTGTCTGCATGTTCTCTACTGCTCGGCAGATGGTGTGTTGAGGTGTGGGTGGGTATAAAGTGGGAGGTCGAATATCTGTGGCTGAGGCAGGCTGTGTGGTCTTGTATGTGTTTGAACCGGTCACGGGATCGTCACTGAAAGGTGCCTCTCGCTGACCGTTCCTTTATTCTAGTCTGCGCACGCGAGACCGGTACAATGTACCAATACATTTACCATGGACGCGTAATGCAAGTTTTCATGGGGCGTCTTCTTTCGATCACAAATTGTCCTTTCACTCGCCTTGTAATTTTATCGAAGCGAGAGCGGCTTCGCGCTGATGTCCCATGATTCACGAGATTGTATAGTAATTTTGGCCTCCACCTAGGTAGTCCAAGTCGCTCGTGCCACAGCCGTTGCAGCACATCGACGTTATCGTCCCACTCAGACGCTGGTGGTCTGTTAGGGTTTGGCATGTGCTCGACAAAGACGACGAAATATTCGGCGCAGAAACGACGTCCCCGCTTGACAAATGACATAGGTTCACTTTCAGACCTCGCAGAGCAGACGGCAGCATTCTGACAAGCCCAATCCAGTCGATGGTCTTCTGTCAGGCAAGAATACTACTAATCATAAAGGCGGCAATGCCGGCAGGAACATACACGTGTTATACAACAAATAAGAATAACTCCATGACCAGTAGAGAATAACCGCACGTAGAGGAATGCAATGCATACTGATTCAAATCTTCAGCCAACCCAATGCTACCGCTCTTTCCACATTTCCCACGCAAATGCCTACGTTCGTATTCAGATGGCGCTGCAATGTGTCTCTGCGACCACACTTGGTCCCGCACCCACCCACCATCGACCTGCCATTGTGCCTGTACGGCTTTGCATCCCTCGCGACATTGTACTCTGCAGCCAACTCGACGGGGACACCGCAGCACTTCCACTTCTTGCCGTGCGCCTCGCCCGCATGGGCCTTCATGTGTCGCCATAGTTCGCTACGACACTTGAATACATTTTCGCAAACCGTGCACTTGCAATCTTTCCTCCCACGGGCGATCGAGACCTTGAGCGCCAACACTTCGGCTTTAACCTGCCGTAGGCGCGAGCGCGTGTGCGTAGGGGATCGTCTGTGCTTCTTGGGGCCTTGTGGACGGCGCGACGAGGGGCCAGACACCCCGCGCACGGACGACGACGGCTCGACATGACTCGAACGCAAGGCGGACGAATGCATATCGCGATCGAGAGAGTCCGGCGACGGTTGAGAAGGACTGAGGACGTCACGGAAGCTTCCGCTGTCGATTGCGCCGGTGTCATTGCGCCAGGAGGACATGGACGAAGAAGGGGACGAAAGGGAAAGAGACGTTGACGAGCCCGAAGAGGAGCGCAGTGAGGACGATCTCGTGGCCGAAGGTGAGTCTTCCAAGGCGGAGGCTATCTCCCATGTACTGGGATGCGCGACATGAATAGGATCGACGTGAATGTGAGATATGTCGGCGATGGGCGAGCATCCAGGTGTGCAGTCGGACGCCAGGAGTATCCCAGTGTGAGTGTCACATGGTGCGAAACTGGGCGCAGATCAGCAAAGATACACGAAACAGCACGAGAAAGACTGACGGGGTACTTCCTGAGCACCATGGTGTGCCATACTCCTCGGCGGCATTGAACACGACCGGTAGCCCGGAGTGCGCAAGTGGTTCGCAATGGGCGTCACACTGATGCACGGCAAAGTCATCGGAGGAGTGTTCTTGCAAAGTATCTGGGTGTGAGTCAAGGCGGAATGACTGTTCCATGGAGCGCGTGATCCCGTCTACGCCGGAAGGATCGTAGACGGTGGTTGGGGCAAAGGAGGTGAAGTGGCTGTAAGACATCTCGGGTGAGGGAGGGCGGAATGAGAAACCACAAGAGCGTCGGGTGCACGGTGCTGGGGGCACCTTCGAGTGGTGTGCCGCAGTCTTTTATACACAGATAGTGCCGCGCCATTATGCAGCAGGCCAGCCTCATCGCCGTATGTTCTTGACATCCGTAAATGGAAATGGGTTTCGGTAAACGGACGCCATTTCACAGAAGCGAGATTAGCGCGCGCCTGTGCCGCTACCGTGCCGTGCTCCGTCCCATGGGCTCTGGGGGTCGTCGTCAAGCCCGTCCGTGCCTGCACAAGGCTGCCACCCTGGTATATATAATGCTGGAACCATTTCACAAGGAAATTAATGTCTCCCGAGCCTCCAATATGGTCCACTGTGAAGGTTTTGTATACGCGACAACACGATCACGGGATCGTGACGTCGCGCGCGACCCGCGTCAGGGGAGACCAGCAGTGGGCATCAGACTTATCGAGTGATCCCATACTCTATACTGAGTATAGTTGTAACCATATAGCCCATGTCTCGCTGTCGGTTCTAACGTGCTTTGCAAGCATTTGGTCGGGTTAGAGACTTGATATCAAAATAACGTAACTACAGCACGTACCGGGAGGTAGGCACCTAGAGAAATGAAGTTGCATTATGCATCGAATTCGCAACTTCGGTTCGTGAGCCAGCAAATGATGGGTCCAGTTTGAGGAACCGTTGAATAGTAGAAGCTGTCGCGTCAGGCAGGTCATTGCAGATCAGTATGTCAAGGAGTAGCGTATCACCATTACTAGTCCAATCAGACAGGTAGTCTTATCCAGCCCAATAGCTCGCAGGATTTTCTTTTTAAGCGACGTGCTGGATTGGAGCAATGTGGAAGGATGCTTAAGCCAAGGAAGGTGCCTCGAGCAAGGTCTCTAAATTAGCTGGTTTAGCATAATTCAGGGGCATATTTAAAGACATCAGGCAGAGTTCGGGGAACATGAGAATGAAACACGCCATTGATTTATAGACTGAATTGTTCGGGAAGTCGGATTTCGAAGCAAGGCGGTGAGCTATGAATAGTGGGACGCTCGAAGACCCTCTATGAGGCGCACACATACCTGCTCATGATACGATTCGTATGAGTTACGATCTCGGATCAGACCAGAACTATCGTTCCCGCGAGTCAATGACATTAATCGCGGTTAGTAGCACCGGTCGTAAAATATATTCAAATTCGAGTGAGGCCACCTCGCATACTCACTTTGAGACAACATATGAACGGGCACTGCGTGATTACAAAAGTGGAGAGAAAGGGAAAACACACGAGTTCGAGGGCAGCGTTGTCACTGTTTTGCACTAATGGATAGTACGTTGTGCGCCGACAGCAACTCTAGCCTACAGTATGAGGTCGTTTACATATAGGTGTGCGCCACTTCGTGTAGACCATCACACGCCGAACACACGCACCACGACAGCTGAGATTCCTTCACACAGGAACATCAGCAGATAAATGCTCACGACGAACTCGCCTAAACTCATCGCGCCGCTCCAACGAGCGTAAAGAAAGGCGTCCGGGCGCGTGGAACTTGAGGATAATGTCCGTACTATTGAGGGACATGCGTACTACGTAAAGTGTGCCTTTTTCCACGATGATCGTCGCATTGCTGAGCCCGTCTTCACTCAACCAGAACCCTGCGTAGAGATCCCGGGAGTACTCGGCAAGCATCTCGTTCATTCCGGGCTGAAAGCCCGAAGGCGTCGTAGGCGAGTCTGCCGGCATCTAGGTAGTGTCCCCCAAGAAGCACCACGATCCCATACGAGGTACACGGGTGTATCGCGATCGCCGCATGAAACCCTGCCATGATCGTGACTACACACAGAGACGCACAGCAACTGTTGCGCGAATGCTTTCAGAAAGCGAGCACGCACGCTTCCAATAGATCTTCGGAGTCGTCTCGCGCCTTGATGGTCTCCCAAATGAAGCCGATCTCGGTCCAGTCATCCTCATCGAATGAGTGCACTGGCTGCAGCCACCGATACATGGAGTGCCGTGAAACCAGGCTCTCGGGCGACGCAGGACTCAGCAGTCCCCGGGTGACCTTGATGCAGTCAGGCAGAGACGAGAACTGGCCTCCCGCCGGATTCACAGCATCCAAGAAGTCTAAGTCCTTACAACGCGATTAGCAAGCTAGCAGCCTGTGAACTTGTGGTATTGGGTATTACCGCGATCTCCGGCTCGAGCGAAGGCACGACCACCTGGAGTTTGTTCGCGTCCGTCGTCAGGGAATGGCTACCATTTGTCCCAAGAGGACTGAAGATGCCTCTCTGCAGGAGCTCCGCATATTCGGCTGGTGAATGCTCTGGATGCTTGCTCGCGGTACGGTTGGCGGCGACGAGCGCAATGCCGAGCAGATCAGTAGCGGTGTTCGAGTAGGCGGAATACGTCCGCGGCGGTGAAGTGAGCCGGCACCTGTTGATTGTGTGGAACAAGAACGCATGGTCAGGAAACGGTAGCGCGTTCGTGGGGGGCGGGCCTCCGCCTATCATGTCTTTCAGCCAGGTGAACGAAGCCCGGAGGCCAGTCCCTGCCCATGCTAGACATATTGGTAGCGAGGTCGAATACAGTTATGCCCATGTCTTCTCCTGTGTTTCGTTGGTTTGCTGGCTTAAAGATGAGGTCCGGGAGGAACTTCTCCACCGAGTCGTCCCTGCCCTCTGTATTAAGGATCGGCGTACACAATATGTCAGTGATTGTGGACACACCACGAGAGAACACCCCGCTCTGCCAAAATATGACCCTCCAACACGGCAAACAGCTTCGCCACTGATGCGATGCGGTAGGAGGCATGGCTCGGCGTAGGCGGAGAGGTGAACTCGTTGCCCCGGATGACGCAGGAGTTCCGCTCGAAGACAGGGCCGTCGGACGTGACCACAGCGATCGAGAGGTTGTCAATGTCGCCCTTGGTGAACCGCGTGGAAAAGGAGTCGCTCACACACTCGGCTAGTCTCCTGACAAGCGGATGATTGGCGGGCGGCGAGGTGTCGACAAAGAGCTTGAGAGGAAAAGGCGGCAGCTGAGGCGCTTGACCAGCAATGTCCCCAACAAGTCACAGGGCGGTCCCGCCTAGCACCCGATGCTACATGCAATGGATACCTTCCCGCAAGATCTTGATGATTTGCATATCGAGACCTGACTCTGAAACAGACCTATTCTGTCGGTCCGTAATGTCTTGCAGAATAGAAGCCTCCGTAGGGAAGACATACAGAAGATATACCTATGTGACGGACGAGGGAGGGACGATAGTTGATTCCCTATCGGAAGTTCTCCATAGGCCGCTTTCGTGCGATTATTGCAAGCCTTGAAGAGCCCGTGATTAGATTTCCCATTGTTCACACACCGTTCATACGATGAGTCCATTGGAACGAATGATAGACATCCATTGAGGCAAGATGTTGGGGAAAGACGAGCATGGGACGGCATCACACATCCGAGCGTGCGGACGCTGTTATGGGACATGTGTCAAGTGCTGTGGATGATGTCATGACGGCACGTCGGGTCGAAGCTGTAGCATAAGTATCGGGCACGTGGCCTAGCGAATACGAGGAGGATGAGAAAGCAGCCCTTCCGTGGCGAGTACAAATGACGAGAAGCGTGATGTGAGGGTATTGACAGATTCACGGGTTACACCCTCCAGGAGTGCGTTACTCAACGAGGGGATGAGCAGTGATCACTGATGTGTAGGACCCGACAAAAGGAGAGACGCAGCAGGCCTGTGTCCTTAAAAGGGAAACGATCCCCGCGCCACCGTCCGATGTATCCCGTAGCCACTGCACAATGCACATCGAGCATGAAGCAGAGGGGCAGAACAGCTTCCTCTCGGCGTGCAGCGCATGTCATGCGATGAATAAGCTGATAAACGGGAGTAGAAAAGGGGCCGTCCCACCACCGATCCTCCCATCAGCCGGGTAGCATTTGAGAGCTGTGACTGGCCCTCAGGCAAGGCTCCCTCCTATCTATACGGAAGGCGCAGCATAAAAGAACGAGGCAAGGGCATGCAATGGTCATACCTCCAGTACAACGATCCAAGAAACCAGGTATGGCTGCTGTTGTTTTGGCGTTGTCGTGACATTCTGACAATAGTGGCCACGCAGCCGGGAGACATGGATAGTCTCGCAAGGAAGAAAAATGACTGCTGTGGAGGCGGGGGCGCTTGAGGATCGACTTGCCCGGCGTTGGGATGGTCACAGCAGACGAAGAGGGAGATGAGGCGAGCATTTCTGCAGCATCGCGCACGTTGTCGGCGACAGCGAAGACACACAGAAGTCTGAAACAGGCGGTGTGATCTGAAACAGGCGGGCGAGGATACTGTGCCTCCCCGGGTAGTCGGCAGACCCCCCAAGTCGGCAGTCACGTAAAAGTAACACATCCATCACGATCCATCACGCGTGATATTTCAAGGTCCGCTTAGCCAACGCTTGAGGATTCTATGGGCAGGTAGCTCGAAGCATACAATGAGGTCGCTGACGTGATCGGAAAATGAAACTCCGACACAAGCTGTTACAACCGAGGCGTACACCAGCGTGACAACGGCTTGAGCTGGTCCTCAGGAAGGATTTCCAGAACTACTGCACCGTTCGCTTTCGTTCAAGCTGGAAATGAAAGCAGGCGTACGAAAACCTATGTCTATACAAAAGCACGAAGGTAATCGAGTACTGTGGAGGGAGATACTATGAAATTGCCGACTTGGGGGTCTGCCGACTACCCGGGGAGGCACAGTATTGTTATCGCCGACTTGTTACTCGAACTTACCGCACCCTGGCAGAATCACGTGCGTCCTGAAAACATATCAGAAACTCGCAGCACCCTCCGCGCAAACTTCGACTGAGCTCGCGACGTTTGCTGACACTACGCGTTCCTGCCGTTCCTTCTGGAGAAACCGCACTACCAGCCAGAACCTCCTGCAGGAATTCAACAGTCAGATCAATAGACTTGTCGGCGAGGAATATTGCCAGATTAACCCAGATTAACACGCATGTTTTCGACCCTAGGTAAATTACCGATTAATCTACCGGTAATTGGCCGGTAAATCAGGTCGCTGTTAATTAAGGTAAGGTAACCAGATTCATCGCGCCCTACTAATTTAGAATGTCGGCATCCGCCGCCCCTATTACTTATTGGTAGTGTTTCAATAAATGCTCCTTTCATTCTCACTTCGCCCTGAGGAATACTTTTCGCTAATCTTGCTTTCACGGATGCTTTGGCCCAGTGAGAAATTACAGAACGTGGTTTTTTCTTTACCCCAACGCGGTCCGGGTTGGCTACAAAGTGAGGGCCATCCGAGTCCGAAGGTTATTGTTCCTTGAGGTAACTTGGCCGAGCATCAGGGTTTCGGTTATTACTGAACTGATAGTTACAGTAACATCGTCGCATGATTCAAGGTGGAATCACGATATATCATCTTAGAGTGCCTTGAGGCTGGTAGGCAATATACCGTCATGGTAAGATGCACCTCGGCCTGAGGCAACCTTACCAACACCACACAGTATCCCCTGCCTGATTTCCTGTTGACGTCTCTGGGGTTTTCATTTCCCAGATGCGGAGGTATGTAACGTTTCGTGCTCTCCACGTAAATGGGCCTTAGATGGGCCCACTTGTACTCTTCGAACCCATGACCAGTCGGGATGATAGAGGTGAAACGGAATCAAATATTGCACAGCCCGTCCACATGCCGGTCGATCACTGTATGCAGATCGGTGGCGCACAGAGCACCCTAGTACAAAAGGCGAAGCATATGAGCCCCTTGATGACAGTATTTTTCACCTCGCAGTCACCACGCGCAAGTGAGAATCCCCCCCTCCCTAACAGTATGTCGAGCAGCTTCTCCTCTGAAGGGACCATCCCCTTCACGGTCGATGGCGAGACCCATCAGACATGGTACCGCCTTTTCGGTGACCTCACGAAACGCACCCACCGCCCTCTCGTCGTGATCCATGGCGGGCCCGGGCTCAGCCACGACTACCTCCTCCCGATCGGCGACCTCGCAACGACTGCGTCCATCCCCGTCATCCTTTACGACCAAGTCGGCACCGGGCGCTCTACGCATCTACGCGAGAAGCCCGCGTCTTTCTGGACGATCGACCTCTTCCTCGACGAGCTCACGAACCTGGTAAATCACTTCGGCGTCCAGGACGATTTCGACGTCCTTGGGCACTCGTGGGGCGGCACACTGGCCATCGAGCTCGCCATCCGACGCCGCCTGCCCGGTCTGAAGCACGTCGTCCTCAGCAACACGCTCGCCGCGAAGCGCCTCCTCAGGGAGTCGAATGAGATGCTGCAGAAGAACTTTCCGCAGGAGGAGCGCGAGGCATGGCTGGCGGGCCCCGAACACCCACTATTCGGCCAAGCCTCCGCACACTTCTTCTCCCTGCACGGATGCTTGCTCAGCCCACCGCCACAGGAAATGCTGTACTCGCTGGCTCAAGGATCGCCAGGAACGGGCGACACGACCGTCTATAATGCGCTGCAAGTCTGTGTGCAATATTGATGTGCTCGCCTACTTACCGCTGGCCCATCACAGGAGCCAAGGGGAGTATGCAGATTGGGATGTGATCGACAAGCTGCACACTGTCGAGGTCCCCGCGTTGATACTCAACGGACGCGCGGACTATATGCAAGACTTCGTGAACGCTCCATTCTTCACACACATCCCGCGCGTCAAATGGATTACGTTCGAGAAGTCCAGCCATATGCCGTTCTGGGAGGAACGTGAGAGATACATGCAAGTGATCCAGAATTTCCTCAGCCTCTAGAGTGGAGGATACTCGCCCTTTCCTTGCGCAACAAGGCTGTCTCGAATGAATGGCCGACGTAGTACATGGCTTGCGAGCTTGTCAAATCATTCTTCCCCTGTCTCGCCACTCATATCGTCAGAAATAAGTCACTATTTGATGTATTATTACTATCCAGCGGCTATCAACTAAATATGAGTCTGGCGAGTGTGCCGTTCGCGAAGACATAATTGTATGCGATGCAACACTGCATCTCCTGCCATGACGTTACTGCACCTGGTCTATTTCGTCATCGGCGTCGGCATTTATGTAGATAGATGAGTTAAACTACCGTGCCACCGCTGCTTGGTTGCCGCCCTACCAGCATGGTACACTCGAGACAGATACATGGCGTCGGGAGGTTCCGGTATTTGTGGAGACCACCGAACACGACCTTCTGCTGGACATAGACTTCGACAACGGCATATGCCACGCCAGCACACAGGCATCATACCCAACCTTGCCTTCCTCGCCCTTCGCCAGCACACCCGCACTGACAACGCCGCTCCTTCCTCAGACGATCAAACCGTCTTTTGCGCCGAGTGTCGGAGGGTCTTCCGGGCCACCCAACCATTTCGTAACAATAGCCTTCACACCACCGCCACACGTGAGTACGCCATGCGTACCCCGCGGGACCGATCCTGGTCTACCTGTGGTAGAGCAGAAAACGGTTGCATTCGGAATACGGACACTAGAACTCGGGTGACGATGCAGCACTCTTCCTTGATAGCACGTCCAACAACACAGGATTTACCTCTTATTAGGACGCCACCGCATGCTCTGGGACTGCCGCAGGTCCTTTGCACGTGAGTTCTAGTGCGAGGACAAAGTCCCCACGCGGCGATAGGAAATGCACCCATCCACACGCCCTGGTCCAGCACAACACGAGCACTAGTTCGCATCGCAAAGCTAGCAAGCGCAAGGACCGCGACGACGACCTCGTTGACGTTCCCACCGACAACTCGGCCTCTCGCCGGCGCACCAAAAGGGGAAGGCACGCCTTCAGGGATGCCGACGTTCCCAAGCAGTGCTACCCATGCCTCTTTTGCGGAAAGCGCTTCACCAGAAGGTCTGATGTTGAACGCCATTGTGGCGCGGTTGGACGCTGTCCGGAATACACAGCGGAGGGAGAATTCCGCTGTGACGTCTGTTCAGCAATCCAGTCGCACAAGGATACTTGCGACGGCTATGAGATGGCGGTAGCAACTGAAGAAGAAACGATGTAAAATACACATACTGCCCGGGTGCTGCATCTCCAGTCTGTTAAACGTGCATTTCCTCTTCGTCATCTCGATTTTCTTGCTCCTCAGACACCCGATTGTGGCCGATACGGACTCGAAAGTCATCATACTCCTTGATCTGGTCTTGATATTCGTTCTGGTCTTTATTGCCTCATAAACCTGTGATTCACGCACACCCAGATATACACATCTTACCTTGTATCCTTCTTCAAGATATCCCTTCTGAGATAGCCCCGATGGCGTTGCACATTCTCATCATTTGCATTCCGCTTCAAATCAGCTGTGGAATGTGTCTAGCATATGGCCATTGTTCCCGCACATGGCGAATGAAGTGAAGAAGGCCTGCATACCCAGGCATAAGGTAGAAACGTGTGATGATAACCCGTCGGACTTGCTTCAGGATAGAATGAGAGAGGCTCAAACCGAGCTAAGCCACTTCTCAATAAGAGAATGGTTCTTGATAGGTTTGGAACGGTATTTCTGAGTACGCCAAGCATCGAGAGTTGACACTTTCCTGCGTTCAGAGCTTCTTTGAAGGGTGAAAAGACAATATTACTTTCATTTTCGGAAGCCTGGAGACGGAGGGTGTAGGCCAAGCTGCAACACGAACGAGTGACGGAATATCTGGCCAGTCGATTACCCACGTGCGCTCCCGGCATCTTGCGGTTGATTCGGAGTGACCGACTCGCCGTCACTTTTCTGTGCTCTATCATCACCACCGGTTTGTTCAGTTTCACCGTTGGAGTCTGATGGTGTGCTTAATGCCAAGTCTTCTGACTCCACCATTGACAGGGCTTGTACAAATTGATTTCTTGACATTCTCGGCACCTCATTATAGAGCGTTGCGGCTAGGTGCCACTTTGGCGTGAGGTCGATTAGACGCGCAGCCTTCAGCTCATCACCACGGTGAATGCAGAAAATATGGACTTTGTAATGGTAAGGATCAGCGAGAATCGCGAGTTTCTCCATAGTCTCGATGATTCTGTCTTCAATATATTCTCCAACCAAAGCGATAACGATGAGCGGGTATGTCCTTGTCTACGAATTATCGGAATCGCTCGGGCATCTGGAACAATGTGCTTGCGTTATTTGCGAAATGATTGGTCGTGCACGCCAAGTCACCAGCCAGATAAGTTTTTGCCTGTGACATGTTGCGGGAGACATGATGCTGAAGACAAAGTTTTTTCTTGTTCGCCACAACCTGTACATTAGGAATTCACTGTTCATCCAGTCAGTGGCTCACACTTCCGCATCCGTGGTCACGGACGCCACTTTTGAGCCTGGGCCAGCGATCTGGATTGTGATCCTTTCGAACATTAGGCGGACCAAGCGACGGACTGTTGACTATTGGGGGAGCGATGATGCTGGAATTCACGCTCTGAGATATTTTCGGATCACGCGGCCAGCGATTCATAGGCACAACAATGATTGCAGGTCGAAACCGCTCAGATGACACGCATATGCACGATGTAACACACTTTGAAGCACGATGGACTCAAGAAGCATGAATATCAACGATTGCCTTTATACTTACGATCCAGGCAGCGTCGGGCCCGATGTAGCCGTGTGACTCAATGCCGATCTGTGAGAGCGAAAGGCTCATAATGGCAGTACCTTGTACTTTGCATAGTCAGAACAATAGGGGAAAGGCTTCGAAAATTCCCCAAATCGTCTTGTACAATGGCTGCCATCAGCTTTCGAAGGTTGCAGCTAGTCGTGAGAAGCTCGCCTAGTGAGCTCGTCGATGCCAATCCCAGCGTCAACACATAGTAGCTATAAAGTGGATGGGGGCTACACTTTCGCTCAATCTCCGCCGTCACCTTTCCCTACTATTTCATTCTGCATTTCTGGCATGACGCCCTCCGCATTTGGCCTCTGCGATGTTATTGACCCGCCTCAGCCAGCATCGAAGCTTGATCCTCTAGACCTTCATGAACATTCCACTGTCGACCACGTCAATTTCGAGACACCGAGGCCGTCCGAGGTCTGGGGAGAATCAACGGCGGATGGTGACTACGCGCAGGAAATGAGAGATAGTAATTATAGCCACAAGGTGCGGACATTCATCTCAATCGGTCAATACTACTGAGCGAGCAGTCCGCCTATTCAGCCCACCACTGTCACTCCCTTCTTTCCCTGGTCAGACCCATCGAACATATTCTTCAGTGGCATTAGCCATCCTCCAGAACCTCTGTTCACTGTTACACATCTCTTGGAGCCCACAGACCAGGTGCCAGGTTATGACCTTCCCTCAGCAGGCAGATGGTCCGATGGTTCCGATTCCATATCTCCAAGCCTTCATTCGCCTACAATCAGATCACTGTGCAATGAGTGGGCTGATGACTGTTCCCCACTGGAGCAGACTAATGAAGAGTATATGCCTCATCCGAGCAAGGATCAAGGAAGCCCTTATAACATCGTATTCATATCTGACAATATGCCCGCGCTCCCGGATCATAACGAGGATCTCATCGCTCAACATCGCAGCGATCCCACCAATTTACTAGATGCGTCAGTCAACATCATCGCCGATCTGCATGCATTGCTTTCAAGCGCTGGCACGAACGTCATGTCCAGTGTCGTCACATCTGATCTACACAAGGTAGAGCAGAATGCAACAAAAACAGGAAACGCACACTGTATTGCTGACGCCATAGTCGAAAGCAATGTGGATGTGCAGCACATTATCGACGAGGAGACCATTCAGGCTGATAGGGAATATGATGGTCACATCCTGGTGGAGACCCCACCTTCAGCTTGTCTTTTGTCGTCCTCGCATCAACCTGGTTTGCAGTCTCGTGTCAAATCGCAAGTACGACATAAGCGCCCTGAAGTAAAGGAAGTCCAGAATCAAGACACAAGCGCAACCGTGGAAGTTTCGCTGCGGCGCAGCAATCGGAATCGGGAGCGCACCGAGGCCACACCCTCCACGACCCCTATCCACTCCGAGCAGCCGCTAAAACGTGCGCGCATCGGGAACACACCCACACCCACGGGCAACGGCAAAACAGCGGCAATGGTAGCCTCCAAGCCCAAACCCATCGCGATGGCAGACGGACGCTTCGCTTGCCCGCACTGCCCAGCAAAGAAATTTGAGCGCTACCATGACTGTCGCCGACACATAGACATGAGCAAGCGATGTCTGGGATGGAACGGGATCCTCTATCCCTGTCGTCGCTGCGGAAAGAAGTATACGAGGCCCGACGCGGCGAAACGGCACATGGACGACAAGCCGAATTGTGGGCAGAAGGGTGGGAGGAAGAAGGGCGGTAAGAAGGAGAATAGGCCCAGAGACGACTGAAGGCGCACCTGTAGGAGAGCGTCATATGGATACGGCTCGAGAGCGTCGCTGCTCATCAGCCTTCGTCCTTCCAGCCTCTTCTTTGCGT